TGCATTTGTTAATAGCAAGAGTCAAGGACATTCATCTCAACCCACTTTAAAACAAATGACCAAAATTGGACACTCTGCTCATTACTGCATTTCTGAATGCTATTTACATGAACTGATAAGTCTGTAACCATCTTTCCAAACTTCTTGCAATATGCATACACATTATTCTACTATCTCAGACATCATTATATCAAAACATGACAAAAATACTCTAATTTGACATGCTTACCGGGAATAACCAAAGCAATGGCACCAGCTGTAAAATTCCATACTAAATTCAGATATTTCAAAATAGTAGTGTCTGTGTTACTTATTTAAGACATAAATTCAGTCTCAATACTTCTTGATACTTGTTCATACCTTGTATTTACACTTGATAAATATATCAATATTCTTCTCCACTACTTACCTTCTGAGGTACTTGTCTGAGCTGTAGATGGAGGGTAGAAACCCTCAACTGTGAGGTTGACATGTGGATTTCCATCACTTTGACTATCACATGTTCCATTTGAATCCTGACTGTTATCATCACTCTGTGTAGAAGCCCCCACTCGCACAACACTCACTGCTGTGTTTTGTTGATTTGCTACAACAAAAATAATTATAAACAACATAAAACAATAAACATCACTTATATCTATAAAACCTCTTGCCATAACTTCTGATAAAACTGTGGTACATTTCTCCTTATAATTCAAATATAACATATTTCTGACTAAAACTCATTGACACAAACACAAAGACAATAACAATTCAAAATATCAATGCTTAAATAAAGCAAGGCCCAAAATACAATGTAAAAACAAAGTTCAAGTGCTACCTAGTCTGAATGAAGTCTCCCAGTAATGTTTAGACCATATTATGAGAAGAACAAACATCCTATCCAAAAACTAAATGGCATACAAGCATGACTGAAAGTGTAACTCCACAATTATTAACCTCACCCCAGCAATGGACTGAGAAGAGCAGTCAACTTCACACTCCACACAGTTAATACCTAGAGAAAGAGCCTTCAATGCCCACTAGATATGAAAGAGGGTAGATCCCAGAATCAGTCTATACATTGCAAGAGGAAGAAAAATCTCTCGACAACCAGGTATTAAAACCTAGTTAACAAGCCCACAGTATGTTTCTTTTCTGACAGAGTAATCATGGCTCATAATGTGAAGTAAAGGTGTCACAAAAATTTCAGTTTTGTACAAAATAAAATCACATATTGTGGCCAGCAGATACTTGAAATTCAGCATCTGATTCTCTTCACTGACAGTCCAGTGATGTTGCTGTCACCAACCCTACTTCAAACAGATGAACACATGGCTTTAAAAGACAGATATCTCATTCATGTGACAACCCTAATGTGGCCCAACCCTGGCAAAACACATCTGTCTACGCACCACTTTGGAAGTACAAGTACAAATGGTTGTAAAAATGTAATGTTATTAAAATTAAAATTAATCTACTGATTAAGCTGTAACCTCTCAGAAAGCATCTACCATTACAACAGCATATGAGCTGCTTTGTTGCAACTGGCCAGTATCAGCAATCAACTCTGCACAAATATGCTCTCCTGAGTTACACATAATATTTACAAGTTATCTTTCCCACTGCAAAACCAGACATGATTGCTTACTAAAATGGCTAAACACTGATCAGAATTCACAGCTATCATGTCAAGCCAACTTATTTGATGAAGTAGTGTTCCTGGCAAGCTAACAGTCACTTAGCTAAAGTAGAACTTGTTTTTCATAGATGTGGGCATTATTAAACATGAACATGCACACACCTCAATTTTAAAGGGTTCTGATTATGGTGTATTACATACACCTGGGATTACTGAATTCTTGAACTCTGTCCACCATCTGGTATTCAGAAGAACACTGGATGTTTCTGTCCAGTGACTAAAGGACCCAACTGTGTAGGTGTTTCTTCCCTCTTCACCTTTCTACAGAAATAGGTCCAGTTTCCAAAATGGAGTGTTATTTTGAATACCAGATGATGGACAAAGTCCAAGAATTCAGTAATCCGTAATCCATACACCTATACAAAAATTTAAAAAAATTGGAACATGCACAGTGAAATAGCTTCCAAGGTGAAACTCAAATACCATTTGATATAATATTGGCTGCAATCTGATATAAAAATTGATTCGGCAACTTAAAACTGAATTAATGTTTCTGCTGAAAAATCAAAATACAAGCAGGGGTTGACCAAATACTGCTATTCACACATGCTTCCCCACCCACATAAACACACATTCCTTAAATTTGTATGTTAAACCATATTTTATATTTTGATAAAATTAAATTTGAGCTAAAAAAATACTTATGGGGGTTACATACAGTTCACAGATCAGGAGAAAATCCCTGCTAGGAATTCGATATACGCGCATGTGCAAGATTTCGCGGTGAGTTACGACCCATCCTAAAAGCATTCGTTCCACAACCAGTGAACGAACAACAGACGACAGGCTTTCATGTGTTCAAATGGGTACAGCTTTAAGATTACCTCACAGCGGCACAGTGATTTAATCTAGAATATTATCGCAACACCCGCAGAACACATTAGAGGTGCGCTCACTATACACTACTCTTAACTGCTTGATGTTTTCAGTCTGTGTGTAGTAGCGTAAAACTCTGACGTATCACACTTCCCACCAATAGCAGCCCTCTAGTCCAGCTGATAAGTAACATTCCCCCCGCACCGCACCAGAAACGACTTCCCCCAGCAGGGTTTTTCTTGTCATCTGTGGACAGTATAGATATCTTCCTACCATTTCAATACAAGACAGATATCAAATAAAACTGACTGAAAACAAAGAACAAATTTAAATGTATTCTTATACATAAATGCCTCATTTGTGCTATACATATCTAGTGTAACTTCTCTTACAACCCAGAAAATCCATGACATTATGCACAACAACTAATCTTGATCTCCTGTAATATATAGTATATATGAAGCACTACCACCAAATGCACAGAAGATCCTCATTATCTGTTGTAAACAAGGCTGGAAAAATGCCACGAGTACCCTTTAAGTGGAGAATTTCCATCCATATGAAATGATGTAAATAAATAGGGGTTAATGAGGAGCAGAACATCCAAGGGTATTGATGAAAGACTCTAGGGTTACAAGCCATGTCAGGTGGGTGAATGGTGAATAAACCATATTTTCTGCATTACTACCTGCCGTCCACCACCAGTTTCCCATCAACGAGTGTGCAACAAAGAATCAGATTTGTTACCCAGCAGCCCTGAGGATAAGAGCAGAAATTGTTCTTGAAATGGCAGAAGATATGGTTTATTCACCATTCAGCCACCTGACACTGCTTGTAACTTAAGAGTCTTTCATCAACTTCAGTCGTCGCAAAAGCTTCACTTTATCCAAGGGTACTTACTGTTCATGGGTCTTTGATTGCAAAAGGTAGCATTCTGCCCATGATGTTTAACAAAGAATCATTTTCCAACAACCCATAATACAACTCCTACGCCCATTTTGAACTAATGATGATATTAAAATATACATTTTTTACATAAATAACTTGAATCATCAATCACATCTTCAAGATTATGCCGTGATTGGTTTGTATTTTGCACAGAACAAGCTTACAGTTGTCTGGGTTCCAGCCTACAATTTTTCCTGCAAAACTGCTTTGTAGCCCAGTGGGAGCAAGAAACTGGGAGAAAATAGCAGATAACTGTAAGACAGAAACTATTTTATATTGGGAAATTTGTGGTCCACTGATGTGATCATTGGAAGTGTAGCAAATTTTTAAGAACAGTTCAATAATTTGACACCATATATGCAGGGCCATGGATAATTAAGACTCAAATAATGGTAACCTCCTATACCATGCACTATAATACAATACAGCAAATAAGAAGTTCCATGTATAACTCATAAAACTTACTTTCCTACTGCACAAATTTCTAGTCCTACTAATCTTGTGCTTTTCAATGTTATAGTTGGGTAATGTAATGTATGCTCATAATGTAACAAACAAGTGAAATACAGCTCTTGAATTAGCACTGTAGGCTCATGCACAAATAATCAATCATAAGGTTGATATAAGTAACCCACATCAGGCAAATAGTTACTTGGTAGCTTTGGTCATTTGATGGCGTGTAAGGCATGACCGGCTTGAAGTGACTGCAGCTAATGCCTTGCTTTCAAAGCTCATACAGTTATGAAAAATCAAGAAAATACAGCATTAACCACAGCTATAAGTTCACTTTTTTACAATTGGGCCCACAAAAAATTTACATCTCTTGTTGATACTGGTAACATCATACAGGGATCATACACAAAGAGAAAAGTGAATAACAAGATCTCAGTCCCATAGATACAAAACAAATGTGTTGTGAACTGAGATGTTAAAAGGGCCAGGAAGAAAAAACAGGGCAGAAGAGACAAAATGTGGCAAGATAATGGTAGACGAGATAAAAATGTAGCAATCTGTAGTCATATGAACAACATAATCTAACCTAAACTAAACTCATGGGTCACCGAAACCATTTCTTCCGTCCAGCGTACATTTTTCCGTTTCACAAACTTACAATGCACACCGTCATTATCTTCTTTCATTATGTCCAACAGAAAGCGGATACCACATCTCTGTGTTGGATAATATGTCATATTAATGAATATACATATATGAAATTACAATGTAAACACACTTACCTATAAGATTTTGAAGTGTTTCCTGATCAACAGATACGGTCCCATCATTGTTTACAATTATGATGAGTGTATTGTCCGATTTGTGGTCATCTGTAGTATCAGCCACAAATGTGCTAGACATGATGAAGCAACTAAAATAATAACGAAACAACTGTTTCGAATTCAAATACACGTGGAATAACGCACTAAAAGAAAGTTAAATTCGAGAGTTAGCGTTGAACGTGAAGTTTTGCACATGACTGTACTCGGATAATTGAAAACTCAAGACTAAACTTGCACTAAAACCATGCTCTCGTCAATTACAATAATAAATATTCACTCTGTTTACTCACTCATTCAATTACAGATGACATTTAAACCGAAGAAAAGTTTTTAAATTAACACTTCACTCCACCAAACACAATGATCAGCCATATTGAATTTTACCGCAACAAACGCAACGAGCCAAGAACCTTGAATGAATTGGGTTCAATTTAACGCACATCAGCACAACGCATATTTAAACAAATGTCTTATTCTGTTCTTCAATACATAAGAAACACGAATAAGAAGATTAATGCTTAATTATCGTTAGCTTTCATCCAAAGAGGGTAGAAAATGTACTACTACATTCTATCATTAACAACATTTTACCCCCACTCATGTGGTTTGCACAGTCCCATCATGCACCTGGCACCTACAGAAATTGCTACCCGTAATTGCACGTCGTGTTTCAAATTATATTTTCTTCGTTTACCATAATTTCTAATGTTGTTATATTCTGTAAGTTTTTTAAGTATTATATACATAAACAGAAACACACGTTTGGTATGACGTTCCATATTTTATAAAATAGATTATGACATTGCTGATCATAGCACGACCAAATCGCTGAAACGTGCCTATTAAATTACAAACTCTTTCATGGTCCTACAAACTTAAAAATTTCAACCACGTAATTTGAATTCATTTTAAAACAATAAACGTCTTTTGTTCCGGCACGCCTCAAGGGAACTATTTAGGAGCCATCACAGTTAAAAGTCGGTCATAGTTTCAACGAGCACACCAGAGGTAGACACTAAAAACGTCACCTCTGCGTGGTTACATGTGGTTGGTGGGTACCAATGAAAACGCGGTGTCGGCACTTCCCGGTTATTTTTCTGTAGCCTTTGACGTGGCACTTGCCTTTGGTATTCCAATTCTCATTGATGATTCGTGGCTAAATATTCTGGGAAATGTTACGTTATCGTTGCTACCAAAACACCTTCATATTAATTTAGACCGAGGTGAAGAGGGAAGTAAATGTACCGCAAATGTGACGTACAGCGTGTTGACATCATCGTACTCATGAATCAACCCGAGACTAGATACGCCTATTTAAGTTACATTTACAACTGGAGTATTCTGCAAAGTATTATCAAAAAATTTAATCCGTTTAGATCGAACAATTTTAATGAACACTAAACAGTTTTCATACTTTATGAGTTTATCGCATAAACGTGCGAAAAAATTTACATGAACTGATGTTTGAGTTTATTTGAACCAACATTCAACACAAGTCCATAAATAGGCTTCAGTTGGCCTATAAACATTCATTAATATCAAATCAAAATGTATTATAAAAATTACTCGTCTGATCGAAATTCACCAAATTTCCACCTATACCCTACGGTAGCCATGAGATGACGTCATGCGCTGCGTAGTTAAATTTTCGTCGTCTCCTTTTCGATACCTACGTTTAATCATAAACTCTTTGTTGAACTTACTAATATCGTCAGAAAATTACTACTTCCATAATTGCATTAATACCTTTAATTGCCTGAACAATTAGTTTAAATCAATAAACCTACATTTAAATCTGATTAAACAATCTTCCTGAAATATACAGTAAAACCCCTCAAGTTGGACACCCCTATATCCTGGACACTTTTAATTGGAACTGGCAAATATCCTATAATTTTACATAATCACAATACTCTATATCTTGGTCACCCCTTTTGTTGTAAGTTGGACAGGTGCATGCATGCTGTTAAGTACAATTAAAAAAAATATATTCTGAACATTTAAAATTTCATTGTGGCTGGGGTGAAATGTGCAACCATAAGAGTGGGTTTCAAAAAGATTATTATTATTGTCATTAATTCTTAATTCAAGCAAGCCTACAGTAATTAAACATTTAAAATTTCATTGTGGCTGGGGTGAAATGTGCAACCATAAGAGTGGGTTTCAAAAAGATTATTATTATTGTCATTAATTCTTAATTCAAGCAAGCCTACAGTAATTAAATTACGTAAGTAAATAGATTACATTGTCGGAAAACGTAAAGTATTGCTGCCCTTCCCTTTGAACTTATCCATGCAAGTTTAATTTAGTGAAAACAAAATTTGTAAAAATTTAATTTACCCTTTTGATTTTTCTTATCAATAATTTCCTTTTTGGGAAGAGCTCCATAATACTTTACAATTACCACATTGTCATTATACCACAATTTGAAAGGATAATTTTCCCCTTTCCCTCTATCCTGGACACATTATCATGGAACCACAAGTGTCCAAGTTAGAGGTTTTACTGTACTAATAGTAAAATATGAATTCATTTGAATATTGGTTATGATGATAAAGTAATTTAAGAATATATATAAAGTATACAAAATCAAATGGTTTAATCCTTTTAGGGGTTAACAATGTGTATGAAATATGTTACATGATCAGGTGTAAACTGTTACATATCACTTCCAAACAAATTTTTTAAGAACTGACTTCTATCTTCCACTCCACTGCCCAACATAATCTCAGATTTTTGTTCTTTATCATGATATATTTCTTTGTCGGTTTTTCTTTGATGATACTGAGTCAAAAAGCTGTTTATTTTTGATTCGCGTTCTAGGTCTTGAAACTTATCTCTTCTCTTACGAAGTTTTTCACTTTTTTCTGTATTATGTGAAATGAAGTTGGCTTCTCTTTTAGCTTGGGATATCTCAGTACGAAGGCGCTGCTGGTGAACTGCTCGTTCATATGCAAGTCTCTCATTCAGATGGACCCATTTAAACCTGTAATAGAAACTGAGATTAAGAGCATTTATATGATTTTGTGGTCTTGTAATTTTCCTACCTCAACTGATGTGGATCCTTTCCTAGTGGCATTTCGTAATATACTTTACTCAGCTGCACAAAATGTGCCAAAACACTATATCTGAAAAGCATTTATATTAATGGTATGCTGGTATCCATACAGTGCACCAAGAGTTGGGTGACCTTGAAGACAGGTAGAATGACCAAGTCATTAGATACTGGATTATGCTGTTTCAGTTGCAGGAGTTGTGTAACATTAAATGGAATGAGGTGATCACAAATAATGTATATGTAAGAATTTTGAAGGAGATAGTTGTGGTCCAGTCCACAGCACTACCTCAAAATCCATCTGCAGAGGGAGAAAAATATCATGAAAATCCTGTAAATACAGCAAAAACCCACATGAGTTCTGAAATGAATAACTCCTGAAAATAAGCCTAGAGCATTCCTTCTTACAATAACCTATTTTATGAAGACATGAATGATTTATATTCAGGTTCTTTAAGCAGCTAGTTCAATTACAGATGATCATGATCATGAACGGTGAATATGTTAGAATTTTGAAAGATGGGTCATGGTCTATGGTACTATCCAAATATCTGTCTGGAGAGATAGAGGGAAACTATAGAGCCCTCAGTGTGAATAATTGGTAAACCAACAAGACTCAAACCTTGTAATTCCCACAGTCTTAGATGTTACCACTACACCAGCTTGGTGAGACACAGGCTGATACTGACGTATATAAATACCATAAGAAACAGTAAATGCTGCTTTGACATTAGCATAATTAATACACAGAACTATCAAAATGTATTGCAGAGGCACAAAAGTTGTACAAAATAAACAAATTTCATAGCAAAGTATATGGTAACTCAAATGTGTTCCTGGGGGGGGGGGGGTTGTCACTGCATTTAGGATGGCTCTGAGGCACATCCAATCACATTCAATGGGGACCTATCCAGAAGCTAAAGGGTTTCTTTCATCAGTGTGTAAAGCTAATCACTCAGCTCCATCCAGCAACAACTGTATACAACCTTAATTCACCCCACATACATCTCCATGACATGGTGCTTGGACAAAAGGATATATTTCCCTTTATCTTAGCTCATTCCACTGTCAGGCACTGTTATAACTATTTTGCAAGCACTATTTATAAACTTACTGGGAAGCACTTCATAACACAGTGAAGTTTCTGGTGCCACAATAGTCCCACAAAAAAATATGTGCATATTTCTCATGAACCAACATAACAAATTTTACAGTGACTGTCGAGTTCACAAGGGCCACACTGCTGCATTTAGCATGCATTATACTGTGTAAGACCTGGTCTTTCGCAGACAAGTTTCACCATGGCAAGACATAAAAATATCTCTTACAAGGTGCACTTATTTTTCTCCCATTCACCAGTCAAGTGATTAGTGTTTGGCAGAAAAAAATATATTTTTCCATTTATGGTTCTACTATCACAAACAAGCTAAGCACAATATCACACAACACCCCTACAACGATACTTTCAATGCCTAACATAAGAATGCAAAGATAATAGGCTGGTTAGGATTTAAGGTTTTACTCATCAACACTGACAATGGAGGCAGCAAGCCCTCTGAAACGTTGGTATACTTCTACCAGACTAAATGGCACAATAACCCAAGAGACAGCCATCTTCCTTAATAGGCTGGTTCTTGAACATTATCTCCCATTGTTGCATTTATTTTCTGTAGCAGGGATATATTATTGCACGAGGACAAAAAATTATTACAATGGGTTTGCAATGAAAATCTTAATTCAATACATTAATAATAAAAATATATTGTAATATAATGAACCTATAATGAAAATTAAACTAATTTGTACTTAAACAAGAAAGGGGTTTGAATAGAATAAAGAGCCAAATTGTCTGCTTACCGAGGTAAGTACTTAATATTCCAAAGGTAATCATAAAATTTACTCTTCTTCCTCTCACCAATTCGAGTATTGTTCAACTGAAGTGCCACCTGTTTGGCTATTCGCTTACTTTGGAATTCTACCCAGCCTTCAGTAAAATGTTTTGCTGGCTTTCTTTTCTTCTTCTTTCCTTCTTGACCTGTCAAAAGTATTGTGTATTTAATACATCACTGATTGTTCAGGTTTGTTGGAAATGGTTTCAAAGGCTTGAAAAGTATAGTTTATCATAAAAAAATTATATGCAATCATGTATATATATTCATGAAGTACAATTTAATCCCTGATAAACATTCTCTCATACACTACATAACTTATGAACAAAATAAATGTAAAATATTCATTGCTTTAATGACTACAATTTTCCCATCTACTAAATGTATAAAGACTGATTAATTTGTGTAATGACACTTCCTACTACATAGATTTTATATCCATAATTAAATAGAATACAAAGAGCATGATGAATTGTTTGTAGGTAAGAATTTGAATGGTGATCCTTGTCTATTTGAAGGTGCTATGTCTAAATCTACTGCTTACATTTTCAAAACTTTTGTTTGTATTAAACCACACTATCAATAAAAACTATGTATAATTATTGGAATCTTCACCTGTTTCTGCTGGCTGAAGAAATATGCGACCAATATCACCATACAGACTAAAAATTTCTCGTACTTTCGTTACATTCATATGTGGAGGCAACGTAGAGATATATAGTATTCCACATTTCCTTTTCTTGTGTGTAGTAACATCGGTGATAAGTTTATGTTCCATAACTTGAACCTCATTGTCACTTTCACACATTATAATCACTTCCAAGCATTAAATATAATCCCATCTACATTAGAGACACTGTAACATGGTTTACTTACGTAATGTTGGTAAACTGAGATTCACACAGACAATAAAATGTGTTAGTTAATTTACGTAATGTTGGTAGACTGAGGTTTACACAGTTTTAAGTTGGTATTATCTGTGGATAGACCATCTATGGACAGTACCAATATAATGCTTAAAATTACTCATCTGTGCACAGCCTATACCTCTACATGAATACTAATCAATTTCATCACTGAAACCAACGTGCAAGTACTACAATTACCTCCAGATACCAATGACATTCCACCACTCATCCGACAGCAACTTTAATGTTAAATTCAAAACAAAATAACCCAAGTCCTAATGTACGGAATCGTAACTGTCTTTTATAACAATAACTAATTAACTGATTTCTTGAAAACCTACTTTCAACCAGCAAATTATATTTTCTAATTCGTTTTAATTTTATATTACCTCATACAATTTTAAAATAAATAAAACAATACACATGTTGTCAATGTACATATTTTTACTTAAATATATTTATTCTGATCATCAGCAGCTTGTATGTCTTATGCAATAAAAAAGCACCCTCGCACCATTTATGCTTCAAGCACGAGGTAGATTATTTAAGAACTCATACACATGGCATAAGGGAAAACACAACTTATTGAGAACAATGTATACGTCAGTATTCCCTATCTCTTGTTTGAAATTTTTCTCTCAGATAGAATTAGCCCAAACCTGCGGAAAATAAAATGCATATATACCTTCATATAATAGGTTCGTTTAAAATCTAAATTGGGCGATTTTACTCTCAGCAGTTATCGAACCAAAAAGTGAATTGCTAGATAGACGGATTCGACTAGTTCTGCACTTCTTCATTTCTGCAACTTTTGCGAAAGACAAACCAAAGGACGCCCGCTAGTGTATCGATTTTTACACGACAGTCAAGAAGTCGCAAAAGAAATCCATTTTTGGGTGACTATGTATCTTAAAAACAAAAACAGAAATGCCGGTACATTGATCGCCTTTCAAATACGTTACCATAGCAACAAAAGTATTTACTACTGTCTTCTTCATACCAATGGTATATGATTTTGAGACTCAGAATTAAAGTTGTGAAAAAAGTGCGACTCACACACCACGTTTTAAAAACAACGAAGATGGAGACTGCTGGTTCAGCCACCCTGTTACCAAAAGCAGAAAACAAACAACGTTGGAAGTGTCAGTTAGAGAACGATTTTCCAGAATTGGTCAGCAGTGATGCCGCCATACATCCCAGTTACACTCAAATAACACTGCCATAGTAAGCACAATACTATCATAATTCTTATTAAGTTATTCAATGACGCTCTCTCAACTTCAAAGGTTTTACAGCATCGAATGGAAGGATGATTGTGAATGATGAATTGGAAAGTGGAAATAAATGGATTGAGCATTTATCCAACTTGACTCGAAGTACTGTGAAAAATCACGAAAGCTTTAGTCAGAATATCCTACGCCTGAACTAAGAATCGAACCTCTTGATTTCCAGTCCAGTGGTTTGTCGACAGCGTTACGTGGAAGTAAGAAAGCTGATAAGAAGATTGTACCTGAAAGAACTTGGCAATATGGAATTGATGCAGTTCAGAGCTCTGGATGGCGTTAAAATACATCGTATATTTAGCGAAGGTTTCCGACTCCAAAAACCTCACTTAATTCCAGATCCATTTACTTCTGGAGAACGCAGAAGACTGGACAGGTTGTTGGAAGATGAGAGAAAACTAAAGTGCTAAGATAATTGAACAGAGACCTATTTACTCAAACGCGTATCAAAAGTAGCGTAAACTACGTGATCACATAACAAATGAGATAATTTTATGTACGTGCTGTAGTGAACCTCTTATCTTGTATTAATCTTACGTACGTATTTCTCCGTAAAGAAAAACCTTCGTTGTGGGTGGTTACATTTACCATGATTTTTTTAAAACGGTGACGAATATCGAAGTTAAGTACATGGCAATACAAGTCTCTTAAAAACTCTCCTTTTTCAATACCAACCTTAACTTCACACGGACACTGTAAATTACACTGGTAGACCCCAGAAATGACATGGATGCGGTAGCAGAGAAAATCTGTGACCTTGACCGCAGTCAAAACCTGGTCATCCAGTCCATACTCACCAGATTGATTTTATATTCTGTAAATAACAGTTTTGTCAAGTATCATTTGCAAGATAACTCACTGATTAGTGTGTTGCCTGGCGAAATTTATCTTTCCGGTTTCATTTTTGTCATCAGCACAAACAAAATTCATATAGAAACATCTATGTAATAAATACTTCGATAAACAGTATATATTTTTTAGACCTAGAAACTCCCCAAGGTTTATATCCGGAGATTTGCTTCCTTATAACATTATTCATCAT